CCCCCCCCGTCGCTGATGATTCACCGCTGCTCGTCGTCATCGTTAGAGCGAGGAAAGAAAGTTCGCCTGGCGCCCGCGATTAGCACAAAACGTATCGCGCAGGAAGTTGGGAACCACTTCCCTGTTATTACGCACGCCGGAAAGGAGAAGTTCGGCACCGCCTCTCTATTATTAGATACATCAGGAACGAGTTTCGGAACGAAGGTCCCTCTATTATTACCGCCGCCGCTTGAAGAAAAGTTTCGGGAGCGCGCGCGAACAGCCGCGCCACTCTTTCGCGGAGCCAACAGCCGCGCGCTCGCGCTTATTACGCACACGTCCGAAAAAAAGTTTGCGCGCACACACGCTCTATTATTACATCGGGTTGTCTCTTCCCTTCCTCACCCCTCTACGCTCCCTTGCTCTTCATTCGAGCGTACGGAATGAAGCTGCACACTGCGTGCAAAATTCCACGGATTCCACCCTTGACACGAACAGAAGCATTTTTCCGTTAGCTACAAAGTGGGTCATATCTTCCCTCCCAGTGAGAGACGTCTTACGTAACATCATATTAAAACGTCATCTACTGTGATGGTTACTTCATTACACGGTACATCGAGCTAGTAAGAAGGAAAATGAGTTCCCTACCAATCGGAGCGTTTCTCGATGAAAGTTCTGAGCGAATTTGTTTATCGCGCTAGTTTCTTGTTACTTCTTACTCACGATCACGCAAGAGGAATTAAAAGCTACTTGAATTTCAGATATTAGGCTCGAAGAAGTGCGAAGAAGAAGTGGATTTTCGCATGACTGCAAGTTACAAAATAATGGCAAAAGCTTCAAATCCCATTCACGACAGATTTGATAAAATTGTGATTCCTAAGATTTGAAAGACTTAAGAAAAAAGAGAGAACGCACGTTTCAAAGAGAATTCCCCTGAGAATTCGCCGATTTCTCTGGCTAGGAAAGAATTCCCCGAGGATTTCAGGTTCTTTCTGTAGGCGGCAGACGCCGCAACCTCAGAAAAACAAGAACCGAAACGACAAGCTTTTCCCAACGTGATTAGAGTCGCTTCCTGGTGCGAGGATAGATCGCGCTCTTCGATCAGATGGAAGTTTCGCGACGCGACGCGATACGATGCCGGCCCCAACTATCGCGCGGCCCGATCGGGGATGCGCCATTAGCTATTGTTACAAACTGATTTTGATGTCGCGATCGACCGCTCACGATAAAGTGGCCGCGGCGGCGTCCGTGCGATTAACGCCACCGCAGATTGGCGTTATTGTGAAATGTGTCGAGCCATTAAACCGCGACGCGACGAGCGCGGCACGTTGTTATCGCGCCGGATTCGAACAACCGTCGTTAATCCTAGCTTCTTCTTTATTTCCACCGTAATTGCGCAACAATCTCGGGCCAGAGATCTGAGTTGAAATTGTGATTCTTCATTAATCCTCCATCGAATCAATGCACGGAGAGATATAGTCTTTTTTCATGTAAATTCTTTTCAATTTTGCTATTTCTAATAATGCAGGAATAAACTGTCAGTAAGTTATGTTTTGCTAAAGAACATGGTATATTTTTCTAGAATTCTACTATACTGTGAGAGAACAAGAGTATTTAAAAAATAAAAAAAATATATTTATTTGAGTATTAACAACATATTATACTAATATATTTATATCTTGCACTGAAAAAATATTTTTCGAATAAAAAAATTTCTTTAAATTTTTTCATGAAAGCAATTGTTTATTCCATTACGCTTTATACGTAACTCAAAACGCGGTAGTATCATGGTGTCGGTAATCAGAGATCGTCACGGTATTTGACGTGTTAATAACGGCAATGGCTGAACGCAACTCTCACTTTTGATCGAATTAGGAAAAAACCGTCGATCTAAATCAGCACAAGTACTGCGGCTCTCTGTCGTAAGTATCATCTAACACGAAAGAGAAAGAGAGAGAGAGAGAGACGCGGCATCGCCGGTCCGCTCTCGTCGAAGGTAAACGAAGCGCGTCGGGAAATAATGAAAAATAGACGAAGCGCGACGTGAAAGTACGCTGCAACCGCGCTCCAGAAAATCTCGGTCGATACGCACGCTCGAACGAGCGATCCCAAACGGTGAAAGCGACTGCAACAATGATTTATGCGCACGATAAAAATCAAATGGAAAGAACTAAGGATTAGCGGCAAGATAAAGTGTAATAAAAATAAAAAAGCACTCCGAAACGTCGCGTATAAAGATTCTAACAAACTTCATTACTGATACGGAGCGACTGATCTAATTGCCTGATTCATCTCGGAAAAGAGTTCACTGGAAATTGAAATGTTTTATTTAATCATGAGTAACACCCAGTTTTAAAACTGGTAATGATCATCTTAAGTCACATCTCCTTAAATAAATTAAAAAAACAAAGACCTTATTTCGTCGACTATTAAATATTTATCGAGCCTTCTTCACATCCTCAGCGAAGAGACTCCAAATAGATAGAAGTAACGACTTCGCAGGATCATAATAGAAATAATAGTGTGCATATAGACAATAAGGAGAGGGGGACGTTTAGTAACGCTTTACGACGGGATGCTCGTCGTCGCGCGGAATCTCGTAATAGCGTCGCGCGTGAATATACATCCTGAAAACGCGCCGCCGCCGTTGAAGATAAGCATCGAACAGTTTCGACACGCCGAGGAATTTGTCGGCGCGAGACGAGATAATGGCGAGAAAAATTCTCAACTACGCCGCGGGCGTAGGTGGAAACATTTAGTGAAATCTCCACGTCACACGCTCGTGCACGTCGCATACGTTAACGCGGAAAACGCGGCTACTTTGATCTCGCGAAACGACTCTTTGTGGACTCCGCGCGGCGATATCCCGTCGCGATAATTCCCTTGACGACAACGTCATATGATATGATATCTTTTCCTTTCTCTCTTTTTAATAATTTCTCGCTGTGTTAGCTACACTGAGAGAGAAAAAATGTTTGTTCCAACTGAAATTATAGTTATTTTTACACGGAAAACACATTTGGTTGGATTAACTAAATGTCTAATGACAGGTGAAATATGAACAAACCAGAAGTCCCGCTTGGAGTCACTAGAACTCTATTCAAGTTAACAAGATTCTGGAGAACTTTAACTACTTTAATTGGTACTGTAGTAGAATAATGAATTTTGAACAAACCTGAATATTCTAATTCGGAACTTATGTTGTATCTGGAAAAATCTTGAAAACTGATCATGTTTGAAGTCAACAAAAGCGTCAAACACAGACTCGCTCAATCAAACCTTCAGAGCCCACGTTCCAGGACCTCAGAAACACAATGGCGAAGGGACCCTTATTGGCAATCCCTGAGAAGGCACCTAAAACGGCGAAAAATCAATCCCTGGGTAGCGCCGTCTCCCTGAAAACCCTCAGCAATGCAACGGGACACACATGCTGGTGGCGCCACCCCGGAACGACAAAAGACCCTAGCCCTCACTGTATAAAGACAACAAGCAAGTATTAATGTTTCGTTCTCTCTCATTCGAACTAGCCAACTATAACTGTTTGTGGTTATTATAAATTTTTTCATAACTACGATCTCCAAATTCGTTCAAAACCTGACCGAGCCAATCTGTGCTCGACACCCCTGCCAACCTCAGGCATAGTCCTTTTATGCGGAATACTTTAGTTCATTTTTTTTGTTCAACTTTTTTAATTAATATTACTTTTGGACTTTCTGCTTTTCATATTTTCTTATTTAACTTTCTGTTCTTCTGTATATATCTTTGCAACTTGGTACAAATTGTTAACTTACATATTAATTGTTATCCAACGCTTGAGGGAATTTGATCCCAGAGCGTTATAAATAACAAATTATTTCTCCTTCTCTCATTTTCGAGCGATTCGCTCGTTGGAAAATATATATTGCGTGAGCGTCGGAGGAGAGCGTAGGCGAGGAGCGGTACTATGTTTCAAAGCGCGTAACCGATTCGTTTAACGATATTGATGTCCGTTGAAAGTAACCTCGTGAGATTAAAGCCACTCTAAGCCGATCCGATTCCAATCTACTTCCGAACGCGATCTCGATTGCGGCATATTGCGACTACAAATTTCCGCGGAGGAGCGAACCGAAAATACAATTCCCCTGGAAAATTCCCTCTTAAAGCGAGAGTGCTCTTCGAGCGACGCTGAGGTACGCTCGTACAGTTGGCGGCTGCAAAGTGAAATTAAAAAAGAAAAAAGACAAATCGCGTAACAAAAGAAACGGAAACCACGAAACGCATTAATTACGTTTGTGTTGCATGCACATATCTGTTCATTCTCCCACGTTCTCATATCGTTCATTCGTTTGTCGGCTTTCATTTCGATCAGCACACACGAGCTTTCCAATCGACGTGCTCTCGGGCCCGCGATCATACCGATGCGAAACGCTGCGGAGGCGAGGTAGCCAACCAATAGGAAACGATCTACGGAACCGATGCTTTACCTGCATACCGGTAATCTCTTAGCGTAATCCGAATTAGGTCTTGCGCTACGTGTACAATGTCCCTTACGATAACAGAGCATAAATCACGGGCATCGATAATGAGAAATCCAGTGCGCGCATTATGGCTGGCATCTCTCTTCCTCTCTCTCCTCTCTGTAATGGGAATACGTAACTAACATCCATGCCCATTACGCGTGCCGGCAGGCCGGCTGGTCGTCCGGAGGTGGTTTTTCTGGATCGTTACAACGCGTACGCGCGGAAAATTGAAGATCGCGGCGCGCGCGCTCGCGCAACGTGAAGAATTAGCGGCGGTAACGATAGTAACGATAATAACGCAGGAAGCGAGTTA